TTTTGTACTTCTGTTTCCTGCTCGATTGTGATGAATATGTCTGCAGGAGCTCAGTGACATGATAGCCATCAAAGCGGAGGATATTTTGCCTACTCTCCAAAGTCTGGAGCTGATCCAATATCGCAAAGGGCAACATGTCATATGTGAACCTATTAGCTCAATTGGTAGAGCATTATGCAAATGCATAGGGGATATAGGTTCAATTCATACATATGTTATTGCTATAAACAAAATTAATTAAAACGAAAATATCAAATTTGTACTAAATTATATGAGAAAAAAATGGTTTGAAATGATTTATAAATATATAAACTTTGTTACAATTAAACTCTCATACAAACTTGTGTCTCCACATTACATAAATGAACCTACGTGGTATTCGAACCCACATCTTTTGCGCATTTGCACAATGCTCTACCCTTGAGCTAGTAGGCTAACGTATTTAAAACATTCAAACACACTCACAAATGAGCATTAATTTGACAAAATGAGCAAGAATCATATGCTCATTTAACAAATGAGCATTAAATAGTTTGCTCATTTGACAAAGGAGCATTGAATTTTTTTGCTCATTTGACAAATGAGCAAAAAATTAATTGCTCATTTTGACAAATTATTTGCTCATTTTTTGACAAATTAGTAAAGAATAAATATTAATTTTTGACAAAATGAGCCAAAATTATCTGCTCATTTGACAAATGAGCATTAAATAGTTTGCTCATTTGATAAATGAGCAAAGAATTGTTTTGCAATTTTATAACCTGTAATAGTGGGTGTCTTTTGTATTGTTTTCCCAATAGCCAAAAGAAATAAATTTCATTAACTACTCAAAATTTTCAAACTCTGCATTTTCACACTACTCTACATGCTAATTGAGTGTAGTTTGCTCATTTGTGAAATGAGCAACCATTAGTTTACTCATTTGTTAAATAAGCAAATAATTAGTTACTCATTTGTAAAATTAGCAAACATTTCTTTGATCATTTGGAAAATGAGCAATCGATTTTTTGCTCATTTAGCAAATGAGCAAATAGTTAGTTGCTAATTTAACAAATGAGCAAAAACTTAGTTGCTCATTTGTCAAATGAGCAAATGATTAGTTGCTCATTTGTCAAATGAGCAAATGATTAGTTGCTCATTTGTCAAATGAGCAAACATTTCTTTAATAATTCATTAAATCAACAAGCATTTCTTTGCTCATTTGTGAAATGAGAAACCATTAGTTTACTCATTTGTCAAATAAGAAAATAATTAGTTACTCATTTGTAAAATAAGCAAACATTTCTTTGATCATTTGGGAAATGAGAAATAAAAATTTTTGATCATTTGGGAAATGAGCAATCAATTTTTTACTCATTTAGCAAATGAGCAAATAGTTAGTTGCTCATTTTTCAAATGAGCAAACTATTTAAAAGGCATGACTTAGCGCACTTTGATGAGCGAAACGTAATATCAATTAACATGTGATAGTATGTTTAAGGCCTTGTTCAAGTCAATTGTAAATTTTTCAGTTATCAAGTAAAAATTAATTTTAATCGGTAGGCTGGCTACATATGTATGACAAGTAAACTAGTAAATCGATCAAAAATTAGTCTTGATTAACAACTAAGCTAGCTTAAATCGGTTTTAATCATTAATACTTCCGTTTAGCAAAAAAAAAAAAAAAAGACGGTTGATATGAGAGTATGAGGCCTAAAACTTAGATCAATCTACACATCATTGAGAATCTTCAGGTTAGGCTTTTCAGAATCAGGAGTTTAAACATGTCATTATTAATTAGCACATAGAAATATGTATAGAGGAGCCTTGATACTTACTTGGATTCTGGTTAGAGATAACAGCAGTCTGGGAGAAGTCGCATTGCTAGGGTTGGCGACCCTTGTCCTGGTAAAATGTGTTCATGGCATAGGTCGCATGAGCCCTAGCATTGTTCGGGTTGTAACAAGCACCGCCTAGTTGAATGGGTTTGCAATCAACTCCATGGCTGCATACGTAATTGATGTTGGACTGCAGTTGTGCATCAGTGGCCTGTTGTTTAGGCACACACCATCCTTTAGCAGGGCCAGGTCCAGCAGGCCGAGCAGTCAATTTTGGTGGCCCTACAGGACTAGGACGCGTCTGAGACTGCAAGCCAAGGAAACACCAAATATTTAGATCATCATGATATATTGCGATTCAAAACTATAAATAACTTCAGACATGAGACATGAGACATGATAAGAGGTTGAAAGGGATAGTTGAAGTACATTAGTAAAATATCATTCACACATTTATCTCATTTACATATGGCTCTTCGTTTCACTCCAAGAATCCATAATGCACGAAAAATGAATGTAATATAATTCATTTATAGTATGTTCATAACATGAATGAAAGAGTGCTTATGTTGTCCTTTTGTTCATGTTCGAGTTTCAAAAGTAGAACACCCTCCACTAGTAATGATACTGTCGAGGGACACGATAAGAGCATAACATTATTAAGGAAAATTAATCCTATAAAATTTGGTAACAATCAAATGTGGAGAAAGCACTTCATAATGAATATGCATGGAGTTTTTGAGTATATGAGGTAAAACATG